TTTTTTTTTTTTTTTTTTTTTTTTTTTTTGAGATGGAGTCTCTCTCTTGCTGTGCAGGTTAGGGTGCAGTGGTCTGATCTCTACTCACTGCAAACTCTGCCTCCTGGGTTCAAGCAATTCTCCTGCCTTATCCTCCGATTCTCCTGCCTCAGCCTCCCAAGTAGCTGGGATTAAAGGAGTGAGCCACCAGGCCCAGCTAATTTTGTATTTTCGGTAGATACAGGGTTTCACTATGTTGGCCAGGCTGGTCTTGAATTCCTGACCTCAGGCGATCAGCCTGCTTTGGCCTCCCAAACTGCTAGGATTACAGGTGTCAGCCACTGTGCCTTGCCTTTTTTTTTTTTTTAAATACAATTCTGGGTTTTTCTTATTACACATACCTTAGTCATAAACACCTGTGGATTTGTAGCTGCATACATATGGACAGTATTTCACTTTTACGTGTTGGTTGCTCTCATCTTTTCCGTCTTTCTCCAATCTTGTAGCCATGTCGGCTGAGGAATTGAGAAAATTTAGGACGATGCATCAAAGAAGCTATGTCTTTGTAAGCCTCTCAAAGGTTTCATTAGACTGATTAGAAAATAGTACTTAACAGAGTTATTGCCCAGTAAACCTCTTTTAAAAAGAGGATGAGGCAAGAGATTGGAAGAAGCAAAGATAAAGACTCATTATCTGGCTTGATACTTGGTCTCTCCTGTGTTCTTTAGCATGGGACCTTTCCTCTCTCGTGGGAAAAGAAGTCTGAGAAATCTCACAATTCTCCTTACTATCCAGAAATACTAAATGGTGACTTGCTTTGAATTTGAATTGGAGAGAGATGAACTTGTGTATCTGGATCCATAGAGGCTAAGCACCTATGCTAGCTGTCAAAGACTTCTTTTCGGATGTTGAAGCTGACACAGTGGGAAATTTCTGGTTCATTTCCCAAGGTGAAATATACTTTTTTGATGGTAATACTGGACTTTGTCACTGGAGAGGTGGTATTGTTCAAGACAACCTAGGTATTCAAATTGTCCCAATAAACCAGAGAAAGAGGCAGTGTTAAGATAAAGGAATTCCGTTGCACTTCCCTTTTCTAAAACTTAACCTTTCTAAAATGTTTCATGTAAATATTCTCATGTTTTATCCTCATTTTACAGATGGAAAAATTAAGATCAAGGGTTAACATTCTTTGTTTATGTAACTCAAAGAAGAACTGGAGCGGAAACCAGGTACTTCTAGTATACCACACATCTAGAAAGAGGCTTAAATGCCATCCATCATCCATTCTTCTCAAAAAGAAAATTCCCTTTTGAGGAGACTAGAGCAAAGACAGTAGAAAATAAAACCCAAGTACTTACCGGTAGAAAAACGCAAAGGGCAAGACCTACTGGTGACCATGTCCTCTGTACCAAGGGAATTGGGCTTAGTAACTCACCTACTGAAAACTGGCTACCAAAATAATAGTTTTTATTTTCGGGATTGAAGCGTTTGACGACTTCAGCGGTTGAGTAGTTGCCATTAAACAGACACAAGGCCAAAACATCCAGGCTGAGCTGGTAGTAGTTAGTCAGGGGATTGTCATTGTGTGTTTCTAGAAAAGAGAAGAAATGCCTCCCTTACTCATGGAAGCAGTAATGGAGTATACATTTTCAATCTATTCCTACTTACTCTATTTCAGTTTCTTTACATTTAAGGAAAGGTGGATAATAAAGCATGAGGTAACGCATAGAATCAGAAAACCTGAGGAACGTAAAGGCTTTTAAGGGCCACTAAATTCCACTCAACTTCTTTCGTTTTGTAACTGAGGGGACACAGCCTTTAAGAGATTAAGATGCTATCTAGATATCGAAGTGGTTACAGAGCTAGGGCCAGAATACAGGTTTTCTACCTCCAAGACTTTTGTGCTTTCAATAGCAAGGTGTTGAAATTAAGTAGAAACCTAGGTTGGAGGCCATCTCAAAGGAAGATGGACTTAATGAAAAATAGAATAAATATTGGGTGGGAGTTGAAATAAAAACAATGCACCTCACTAGTGGCTACCATGGCCAGTTTATTTTTCCCAGTGATAATGTACTCTGGCCACCTTTAGCTCATATACTAGCATTGCATATTTTGGTGCTTACGCCACTGTGTGCTGTGTTTTTAAGCTATTTCTGGTGTAATTCATCATTTGACTAAAAGCCAAGCTCCTGGAAGATTAGAGAATGGTGGTGTGTGTGTGTGTGTGTGTGTGTGTGTGTGTGTGTGTGTGTCTGCCATCATATGTAAAATATTACTTGACACAGGGTCAGTGCTTAGCTAAACATATTTAAAAAGAAAATTCAAGATGCATACTGAAAGGGAAAAAGGGAAGTGCCCTGCAAAGATATAGTGAGATGAATGGGTTTACGAGGAGAGGAAAGAGTTGAGGGAAGCTTCATATAATCTGAGTCAGCCGAGGAGAAGGTAAGGTTCTCTATGATCTCTAAATATTTGATTCTTACCCATATTTTTGATTTCTGCTTGGAACTTATTTTCTAGCTCGTCAATCAGATGGTAATCATATATTAAGGTTTCCTCAGGGCTACGACATGCTCCCAAAGCCAGTATAATCAAGGCAAGCTCTCCCGAGCTTAAATCTGACACTGAAAAGAAAAATATTTGAGTGTAACAAGGTACATGCTTGTGATTTTTTGGGCCTCCTGATTTCCTTGAGACTTACATTGCCTGTCACTTCTTTCTTCTGTTGCACTTTGTACAGTCTTGTGTCGCTTAATGATAGGGATAAATTCTGAGAAACTGGTTGTTAAGCAATTTTGTCATTTTGCAAACATCATAGAGCATACTTACACAAATCCAGATGGTATAGCTGACTACACACCTAGACGATAGGGTACAGCTTGTTGCTCTCAGGCTGAAAACCAGCACAACATATTACCGTCCTGAATACTATAGACAATTGTAGCCCAATAGTATTTGTGTATCTAAACATATCTAAGCACAGAAAAGGTACAGTAAAAATACAGTATTACAATCTTGTGGGACTGTTGTCATTTATGTTCATCATTATGTGACACATTCCTGTACTAATATTTGATTCCTCTCTTCTTTATCCTCAAAGCAGAGCCTTTTAGAGCAGTACTATATAAATGCAAACTAGATCTTGGTCTTTTCATTTTGGAATCATGCAATCCTTATAAAAGTGAAAAAAGGGGAAAAATAAACAACATCTTGGGATTTTTTTTTTTCCTGTTTGTGGTGCCAGCTTGCTAGGATAGTAGTACTTGATTTTTTAATATTCTGCCTTATAGAGTATCAAAACTTTCTGGCTTCTCGTAATTCTTATAATAATATTATGAGGTAGGTAAGAATGGCTTCATTTCCCCTTATGCTAATGAGAAAACTGAGGCTCAGTATTAACATGACTGGTTCAAGGCCAACTCACACCTAGTCCAAATCTGGTTTGCTCTATGGTTGCTTTGCCATCACCAGCTTTCTTAGTTGTGATCTGTATTCCCATGTGGTCATGAACTAAGCTAGCTTATATAACAGCATTAATGGATAAGAATCAATAACTTTTGTTTGTTGCTTCTTGAAGAAAAATTATTAATACTATTATTTTTTTCAGTTTTTTAAAAATTGTACTTTAGGTTCTGGGGTACATGTGTAGATCGTGCAGGATTGTTGCATAGGTACACACATGGTAAGGTGATTTGCTGCCTTCATCCCCCAATCACCCATATCTGGTATTTCTCCTCTCGTTATCCCTCCCCACCCTCCCCATCCCCCGCTGTCCCTCCCCTAACACCCACCCAATGGTCTGCAGTGTGTGATGCTCCCCTCCCTGTGTCCACATGTTCTAATTGTTCAACACCCGCTTATGAGTGAGAACATGTGGTGTTTGGTTTTCTGTTCTTGTGTCAGTTTGCTGAGAATGATGGTTTCCAGATTCATCCATGTCCTTATGAAGGACATGAACTCATAGTTTTTTATGGCTGTGTAGTATTCCATGGTGTATATGTACCACATTTTCTTTATCCAGTCTATCGTTGATGGACATTTGGGATGGTTCCAAGTCTTTGATATTATAAACAGTGCCTCAGTGAACATTCATGTGCATGTGTCTTTATAATAGAACAATTCATAATTCTTTGGGTATATACCAGTAATGGGATGGCTGAGTCAAATGGTATTTCTATTTCTAGGTCCTTGAGGAATCGCCACACTGTCTTCCACAATGGTTGAACTAATTTGCACTCCCACCAACAGTGTAAAAGTGTTCCTATTTCTCCACATCCTCTCCAGCATCTGTTGTCTCCAGATTTTTTAATGATCGTTATTGTAACTGGCGTGGGATGGTATCTCAATGTAGTTTTGATTTGCATTTCTCTAATGACCAGTGATGATGAGCATTTTTTCATATGTTTGTTGGCCTCATATATGTCTTCTTTTGTAAAGCGTCTGTTCATATCCTTTGCCCACTTTTTGAATGGGCTTGTTTGTTTTTTTCTTGTATATCTGTTTTAGTTGTTTGTAGATTCTGGATATTAGCCCTTTGTCAGATGGGTAGATTGCAAAATTTTTTCCCATTCTGTCGGTTGCCGTTCACTCTAATGATTGTTTACTTTGCTGTACAGAAGTTCTGGAGTTTAATTAGATCCCATTTGTCTATTTTGGCTTTTGTTGCCATTGCTTTTAGTGTTTTAGCCATGAAGTCCTTGCCTATGCCTACGTCCTGAATGGTTTTGCCTAGGTTTTCTTCTAGGGTTTTTATGGTGTTAGGTCTTATGTTTAAGTCTTTAATCCATCTGGAGTTAATTTTAGTGTAAGGTGTCAGGAAGGGGTCCAGTTTCTGCTTTCTGCACATTGCTAGCCAGTTTTCCCAACACCATTTATTAAACAGGGAATCTTTTCCCCATTGCTTATTTTTCTCAGGTTTGTCAAAGATCAGATGATTGTAGATATGTGGTGTTGCTTCTGAGTCCTCCGTTCTGTTCCACTGGTCTATATCTCTGTTTTGGTACCAGTACCATGCTGGTTTGATTACTATGGCCTTGTAGTATAGTTTGAAGTCTGGTAGTGTGATGCCTCCAGCTTTGTTCTTTTTGCTTAGGATTGTTTTGGCTCTTGCACTCTCCCAAGACTAAACCGGGAAGAAGTTGAGTCCCTGAATAGACCAATAACAAGGGCTGAAGTTGAGGCAGCAATTAATAGCCTACCAACTAAAAAAAGTCCAGATCCAGACGGTTTACAGCCGAATTCTACCAGATGTACAAAGAGGAGCTGGTACCATTCCTTCTGAAACTATTCCAAATAACACAAAAAGAGGGAATCTCCCCCAACTCATTTTAGGAGACCAACATCATCCTAATACCAAACTGGGCAGAGACGCAACTAAAAAAGAGAACTTCAGGCCAATATCCATGATGAACATCGACACAAAAATCTTCAATAAAATACTGGCAAATAGAATGCAACAGCAAATCAAAAAGCTTATTCATCATGATCAAGTAGGCTTCATCCTGGAGATGCAAGGCTGCTTCAACATACACAAGTCTATAAATGTAATCCATCACATAAACAGAACCAAACACAAAACCACATGATTATCTCAATAGATGCAGAGAAGGCCTTTGGCAAAATTCAACAGTGCTTTATGCTAAAAACACTCAATAAACTAGGTATTGGTGGTATGTATCACAAAATAATAAAAGCTGTTTAGGACAAACCCACAGCCAATATCATACTGAAAGGGCAAAAGCTGGAAACATTCCCTTTGAAATCTGGCACGAGACAAGGATGCCCTCTCTCACCACTCCTATTCAATGTAGTATTTGAATTCCTAGCCAGAACAATCAGGAAAGAAAAAGAAATAAAGGGTATTCAATTAGGAAAAGAGGAAGCCAAATTGTCTCTATTTGCAGACGATTGTATATTTAGAAGACCCCATTGTCTCAGCCCCAAATCTTCTGAAACTGATAAGCAACTTCAGCAAAGTCTCAGGATACAAAATCAATGTGCAGAAATCACAAGCATTCCTATACGCCAATAACAGACATACAGCCAAATCAAAAGTGATCTCCCATTCACATTTGCTACAAAGAGAATAAAATACCTAGGAATACAACTAACAAAGGATGTAAAGGACCTCTTCAAGGAGAACTACAAACCACTGCTCAATGAAATAAGAGAGGACGCAAACAGACGGAAAAACATTGCATGCTCATGGTTGGGAAGAATCAACACCATGAAAATGGCCATACTGCCCAAAGTAATTTATGGATTCAATGCCACCCCCATCAAGCTAATGACCTTCTTCACAGAACTGGAAAAAACCACTTCAAACTTCAAATGGAAGAAAAATTATCTTTAAGACCAAAATAAGCAAGTCCTAGCTCCAGGGTGAGCGATGTGGGCGTGTATTTTGGGCATGTTTCTCTTACCTCAAGTTTGGTACCATTAGAATGGATGTAACGGGATACTTTGGATGCATAATTTTTAGGATTAGTTGCAGATAATCTTTTAGATAGGTAGATTTTAAGATTCTCTGTAAATCTTCCAGAGAATAGAGAAACTTACCTCCCATTTTCACAATGTGTTTGATTTCTTTGACCATCTTTTGCCTCAGGATTTGGTTCTGGATTCCAACAAGTTTGAGGGACAGCAGGACATTGGCAGCGCTGGTTCCCCTGGTATACTTTGAATTGATCATTGTATTCAACAGAGGGTTTATGTCATTTTTTTCACTTACCTCTGTGGCAGAGGAGGAAGAAATAAGAAACACATACTCAGAAAATAGTAAGACTTAGAACAGGGGTTATATAAAAATATTTAGTAACAGGTATGGCACAGATGTATACCAATCCAGTGGCTGCTGACTGTGTTGGTGGAATAATACAAAGGTGAGTCTTGAACCACCCACCCATGTCAGACATGACTCCTTTAACAACTAGCATGAAAATGTTTTAATATTTTAACAACTGGTACAGCCTTACCATTGTGTACTGGCAGACTCCTTGCCTGGGATATCTAGCATCATTCCCTGATTTTGTATATGAAGCTTAGAGAGAGTATCCTTAAAGAAACCTCCATAATTGGAGGTTTAGCTGAAACTAGACTACATGTCTTCTGACTCTTAGTCAGCAGGACTTTCTACTTCCTGGATTCAGTTCTTTCCTTCTCCATCTTCTAAATCAATTGGGTTAATGCTGAAAAAATGCAGGTACAAATTCTGTTATATTGGTGATTGACCCCAAAACTTCATTGTCTGATTGTGCAGATGGCTAGGCATCAAGATCATTATTCAGCATTATGCAGCCTTTGAAAAAGCCTCCAGTTTTAGTCTACAATATGCCCCAATTCCAGAGATGGAGGGAAGTCACATTATACTGTGGAGGTAGGAGAATCTGGAGCTCCCAAAGAAATAGAGGTGAATAAAAAGAGTTACTATTTAAAACACAGGACAGTTTTTCAATATGTTTTTCCATAATCTTGAGGGGTAGCCCCAGATCCTACCCTTCTCTATATTATCTAATGGATTAGTGGGAGAGTGAGAAGAACATGAGCTTTGGATTCATATTTTGGCCACACTCTGTGCTCCTTAACTTATGACTGTGAATAATAAGTTATGTAGCTTGTTTTACCCTTAGTTTTCTCATCTAAAAATTGTGGCTGTTAACACCTACCTTACAGATATTGGACAATAAACCACTGAATTAACTGTAAAATGCTGCACATATTATTATTTCTAACTCAACCGGAGTTTTTATCACTATACTTGAGAATCAAGGAAATGTAATTTCCCTTGCCCAGTTTTCTTTGCTTTAAAAGGAAGAGTCAAGAAGATCTAAATAGAGTGATTGTAGAAAGGTCGTGATGTGTTGCAGACACAATGGAACAATTGAGTCAATTCTCTGAGATTTTCAGCTCAGCAGATTTTCTGGCCCTGAAACAGACTTTTCAGTTCCTGGTCAACAACTCAAACCAGCTTCCTAGACTGCTAAAGATAAATTCAATTATTATTATTATTATTACTTAAAACAAATTGAACTCTAAAACCTACATAGCCATCCCCTATTCTTAGGATCCAACAAGGGAAGTGTTAGGCCAAGAAAAAAAATTAGTCAGAAGAGTCTATGCTGTAGCCTGTATATATCCAAGGCTGTCTTCTGTGGTGGTGTTCTCTTCTTACTGGTTACAGAGCACAGATTGTACCACCTAATCATCTTTGGGTTAAAGCTCAATTTCAGAGTAAAGTCTCACAAAAGAGAAGCCATGCACCTGAGAACTGCACCAGACTTCAGGAGATAATTTGCTTCAATAGTCTCCCCTCATTATCCTTCATTTATGAAGAAAGCTAAAGAAATTCAGAAATGTTGGGTCATTCAATGATTAAGGGATCAAACTCAACATGAATCTAGTTTTCCTTTCTCTTGCTTTATTATTCTTTTACGGAACCACACAATCTCTGGGGATAACATCCAGGCAAGAGATGATGGAACTTTATCCCATGTCTCCTAAGAAAGCGTTGAAGGGAGGTGGACATGCAACTTGGAATATCTAAACTCACTCATGACAAGACAGCAATCATCACTATTTGAAAGAGATTATTAGTTTTTTTCTGTGTAGTTACAAGGGGTTAACCCAAAAATATGGATTGAATTTCAGAAAAAAAGATTGCATACCAAAACCAAAAGATCACTTTCCATGATCTAGAAAAATTTCTGGGAGCATAAATTTTCTGTCATTGGAAATTCACATGAATAAAGAGTTACTTGGCAGGGGTGCTGTGCTAGAGAGGACCTGAGCATAGAAAGAGCAGTTAGGCGAGTTAACACACAATCTGTAATTCCTCTTACAACAACATGCATTGTGGGACTTTCCTCACCATCTCCTGCCACCCTTGCCATCATTCATGGAGTCCAACCACATATGGAACTGGAATGGGATCTTTTCTCAGGTAACTCTACATAGAGTCTCTTGTCAACAGTCTTCAGTGGACTATCACTCAAGAGTAATTTTAGCTCAAAGTGTACTCACCACAGATCTCACATAGTTGGCTTGGAATAAGAGAAAACAGTAAGAGCCCCACTAGGGACAGCTGGTGTGACTGCCTCATCTCTTCAACAGTGTACCGGAATGTTGAGGGATTGGCTATTTATTAGGTGATGGACAGAAGGTAATGAGAGCTCCTCCTTCAGGTTGCCTCAGCTTCTTTTCACTCAAGCAAATATTGAGAAATGTTGGGAGGTGTGGTCAAGTGTATTTGTCCATGTAATGTAGTAAATCAGGAAGAAGAATTGTAAAGTGTGGTTATAAAGAATGAGGAAATAACTTTCCTTTGTTTCCTGCCCTAAACTTTCAGGGTTCATATCCATTATTTGCCTTCCACTCAGTGAACATATATTAGGTGAATGACTCCTGTAATGTTTCCCTTTTTTCCATTTCACTTTATGTCTTATGTTTCCTGACAAAGTAGATTTGATCATGCAAACACATACAACATATAAAAATGGAAGTAAAATAAGACATCCAAATGGCAAGCAGGCATATGAAAAGGTGCTTGCAAAGGTGCTTAACATCACTGATCATCAGAGAAATGGAAATCGAAGCTGTAATGAGATATCCTCTCATCTCAGTTAAAACGGATTTATCCAAAAGACAGGCAATAACAAATGCTGGCAGGGACATAGAGAAAAGGGAACCCTCGTACACTGTTGGTAGGAATGTAAATTAGTAGCATAAGTATGGAAAAGAGTTTGGAGGTTTCTCAAAAAACTAAACATAGAGCTGTCATATGATCCAGCAATCCCACTGCTGGGTATATACCCAAAAGAAAGGAGATCAGTATATGGAAGAGATACCTGCCTTTCCATGTTTGTTGAAGCACTGTTCACAATAACTAAGATTTGAAAGCCACCGAAGTGTCCATCAACAGATGAATGAATACAAAAAATGTGGTACATATACACAACAGAGTGCTATTCAGCCATTTAAAAGAATGAGATCCTGTCATTTGTGACAAAATGGATGGAGCTGGAGATCACTATGTAAAGTGAAATGAGCCAGGCATAGAAAGACAAACATTGCATGTTCTCACTTATTTGTGAGATCTAAAAATAAAAACAATTTAACTCACAGAAACAGAGAATAAACAGATGGTTACCAGGGGCTAGGAAGGGTAGTAGTGGCAGGAAGGAGGAAGAGAGGGTTAATGGGCACAAGAAATTAGAAAAAATGAATAACAGGGTAACTATAGACAATAATAATTTAATTGTACATTTTAAATAACTAATAGTATAATTGGATTGTTTGTAACATAAAGGATAAATGGTTGAGAGGATGGATATCCCCTTCTCTGTAATGTGATTATTATTCATTGCATTATTGTATCAAAACATCTCATGTGCCCCATAAATATATCCACCTCTTATGTACCCACAAAAATTAAAAAGTTTTAAAAACAGAAGTAAAAGCCATAAGTCTGAAATTGAAGCAGGCAGTATTGGAGAACCCAGCGCATGAAGGGATCTTTGGCATAGTGGTTTTTGACCTATGATTTTTCTCCTAAGATAGATCCCCTAGCCAAGGAGGAAAACCAGAAGGCTATGCAACAAATGTGGATTTCCTAGCCAAGGAGAAAAGAGAGGGTTTCCTAGCCAAGGAGGAAAACCAGAGAGCTATGCACCAAATGCGAATTTCTGCCCTGCCAGGACAGTTGCTACATGTGAGAAGTGTTGCCTGTCACAGTTCTGAGAGCTATTGGTGAATACTGTCAGCCTAGCTAAGGATGTCATGACTTAGTGACACACTATTTGCATTATATCTCTGTGATGGTTAATTTTCTGCATCAACTTGATTGGCACCTGAGTGTTCATATTAAACACTATTTCTGGATGTATCTGTGAAGGTGTTTCCAGATGGGATTAGCATTTTAATTGGTGGACTCAGTAAAGTAGAATGCTATCTCCAGTGTAGGTGGGCATCAATCTGTTGAGACCCTGAATAGAGAAAAATCGTGAAGGAAGGAGGAATTCACCCCTTTTATGCTTCCTGCCAGCCTGTTTGAGCTAGGACATCTTATCTTCCCCAGTCCTCAAGCTGAGATTTACACCATCAGCTCCCCTGGTTCTTGGGCCTTCAGTTTGGTCTGAATCACTCCACTGACTTTTTTGGGTCTCTAGCATGCAGACAGTAGACTGTGGGACTTCTTAGCTTCCATAACTGCATGAATCAATTCCTTGTAATAAATCTCTTTCTCTAGTATATTTATATAATACATACGTGGAAACCACCATTCTACTCTCTGTTTCTATGTATTTGATATTTTTAGAATCTACATATAAATGAGATCATAGTATTTGTGACTTATTTCATTTAGCATGGTATTCTTCAGGTTCATCCATGCTGTCTCAAAGGACACTATGTCCTTTTTTATGGCTGAATAATATTCTATTATGGAAATATATGTGTATATACATATATATATATATATATACACACACACACACACGCACACACACACATACACATACACATATATGTCATCCCTTCATCCATCAGCAGACACGTAGGTTGTTTCTGTGTCTTTGCTATTGTGAATAATGCTGCAATGAACATGGGAGTACCTATATTTCTCTGAAACACTGATTTTGTTTCCTTTGGATATATACCCAGAAGTAAGATTGCTAGTTCATATTGCAGTTCTATTTATAATTTTTTGAGGAGACACCATACTCTCTTCCATAATGGTTGTGCAAATTTATATTCTGCAAACGCAAAAGATTCTCTTTTCTCTACATCCTTGACAATACTTGTTATCTTTTGTCTTTTTCATAGTAGCCACTCTAACAGGTATAAGGTGATATCATATTATGATTCTGATTTGAATTTCTCTGATGATTAGTGATATTGCACATGTTTTCGCATGCCTGTTGGCCATTTTTATGTCTTCTCTGGAAAATGTTAAGGTCCTTAGCCCATTTTAAAATCAGATTGTTTTGTTTTTGTTTTAGTTTTGCAATTGAGTTGCATAAGTTTCTTACATATTTTGGATATTAACCTATTATCAGATTCAGGTTCGCAAATGCTTTCTTAAGTATTCCACAGACTGCCTTTTCATTTGTTGTTTTTTTTGCTTTGCTATTCATAAACTTCCTAGTTTGATGTAGTTTCACTTTATTTTTACTTTTGTTGCATATGCTTTTGCATATAAAAAATCATTACTATGAGCAATGTCAAGGGGCTTTTCTTCTATGTTTTCTTTTAGGAGTTTTGCAATTTTAGGTCTTTATATTGAATTACTTTTTGTGAATGATGTAAGAGAAGGGTTTAATTTCATCCTTTCTTGTGTGGATTTTGAGTTTTTCCAGTACTTTTTATTGAAGAGACTATTCTGTCCTAATTATGTATTCACAGTGCCTTTGTTGAAAATTAGTTGACTGTATAGATGTGGGTTGATTTGTGGGCTGTTGACTCTGTTCCATTGGTCTGTGTGTCTGTTTTTAATGCCAGTACCATACTGTTTTCATTAGTATAGCTTTGGAATATAGTTTGAAATCAGAAAGTGTGAGCCTACAGTTTTGTTCTTTTTGCTTTGGTTATTTGAAGTTTGTTGGTTACATACGGATTTCAGGATTATTTTTTCTATTTCTGTGAAAAATGCCATTGGAATTTTGAAAAGGTTTGCATTGAAATTGTAGGTCATTTTGGGTGATATGGACTTGTTAACAATATTAGTTCTTCCAATCCATGAACATGAGAAATGTTTCCATTTATTTGTGTTTTCAGTTTCTTTCATCAATATCTTATAATTTTCAGTGTACAGATCTTTCACCTCCTTGGTTAAATTTATTTCTATGTATTTCATTTTTTTGATGCTATTATAAATGGGATTATTTTATTTATTTCTTTTTCAGATTATTTTATTGTTAACGTAGACAAATACAACTGATTTTTGTTATATTAATTTCGCTTTTTTGCAATGTTATTGAATTTGTTTATTAGTTCTAACAGTTTTTTGATATAGTTTTTAGGGCTTTCTTTATATGAGATTATAATAACTGTACACAGAGGTAACTTTAGTTTTTTCTTTCCCGTTTGTGTGCCTTTCATTTCTTTTTCTTTCGTTTTTTTTTTTTTTTTTGCCTAATTGCTTTGGTTAGGACTCCTAGTGTGATATTAAATAGAAATGATAAGGATGGGTACCCTTGTCTTGTTCCTGATTTTAGAAGAAAAGCTTTCAACTTTTTGCTATTGAGCATGATGTTAGGCGTGGGTTTGTCATATGTGGCCTGTATTATGTTGAGGTAGATTTCTTTTTCTCTTTTCTTTTTTCTTTTACAGTGATGAACAGGTTTCCTTACTGTCAGATATTCCCCAGCCTCCAATATCTAATGCCTTTTGACTCTCTATAAAGGAAAATTTATTATACATTAGGCTACATTTCTACAAATGTTGGACCATGGAACACAGAGTTCTCCAATTGTACTTGGTCATAGAACACTTTTTCTGTGAAGGAACTGTGAATATCCTAGGGAACTATTTTTTCAAAAAATTAGTTTTTATTTCAATAGCTTTTGAGGTACAAGTATTTTTTTGTTACATGAATGAATTATATAGTGGTGAATTCTGAGATGTTAGTGCACCTGTCACCTGAGTAGTGTACATTGTACCTAATGTGGAGTTTTTTTTCTTTCTAGCCTCCCTTCCATCCTTCCCTTTCTGAAGTCCCTTATATCATGCTGTATGCCTTTGTGTACTCATAGCTTAGCTCCCAGTTATAACTGAGAAAATATGATTTTTGGTTTTCCACTCCTGTGTTGCTTAGAATAATTGCCTCCAGCTACATTCAAGTTGCTGCAAAAGACATTATTTCATTTCTTTTAATGGCTCAGTAGTGGATTTCTTCTATACCTAATTTGTCAAGAGTTTTTATTGTGAAAGGATGCTAAATTTTTTCAATTGCTTTTTTTTGCATCTCTTCTTTTAATGTGCTGTTGAATTTGGTTTGATTGTATTTTGTTGAGGATTTTTGCATCTATGTTTATTATGCATATTGGCCTGTGATTTTTTTTTTTTTTTTTTTTGTAGTGTCCTTATCTGCCTTTGGTATTAGGGTAGTACACATCTTGTAAAATGAGTTTGGAAATATTCTTTCTACAATTTTTAAAGAACAGTTTGTGAGGAATTGCCATTAATTCTTCTTTAAATATTTGATCGAATT